TATGTCCACATTTAGTTTTGTAATTAGCGTCAACATGATTTCAATCTTTAGATAACTGAGAGTTTTTCACTAATGTACAAAGCTCTTTCTAGTGTTATTATTTGACATTTTTATCAGATTTCATTATACTTTTGTATAATTTTGTATGTAACATCCAGGCAAGTCTTTATCTATATTATAAAAGAATAATGGAAAAAATCAAAAGAACAATAACAATAGTAATAATAATAATAATAATAATAATAATAATAATAATAATAATAATAATATTTATAATAATAACAATAATGTTAATAATAATAACAATTATAATAATAATAATAATAATAATAATAATAATAATAATAATGATGATGATGCTTCCGAGGACATTGATGATGATTGCTGACAGATGATCATGAGAATGGTTTTCTAATGATAATAAAAATAATAATAATAAAAAAATGATAATAATACCAGCAAAACAGTAGCAAGATAGTAAATGGTGATAATGACAAGTATACAAAGCCATATCAATAACAACTAGAAATCCATCTGAGAACTCCTAACTCCTCCATTTGATATAATAATCCCCATCTCATAAAACTGTTCATCAACTACCTTCACATACTCCTGGTCTGCCTACATATCTACTATAGTCTGCCTTCGTCTACCTTAATCTCACCAAAGTGCCCACTACTTTCCCCAAAACGACGTTTAATCTGCCTAATTCTGAAAAAAATGGAGCCTGGGCCAAGGGCAGCCCACCCATAAACGTTCATCCCCATCCATCCTAAACTTTTGCCTATCCCTGCTAACAAACAAATTCTCCAAATGGCCATTATGTCCATAAGTAAAAGCAAAAAGGAAAGCAAGTTAGTCGAGGCCTCAATTAATTTCCATCTGTTTTGGGTCTTGATTTCCTGGATTTATAACTTAACTATACAATGTAAAAGTGGTCTCTGGAAGCAACTAAACAAACGTTCTTCACTTCTAGCTATGCAAGTTATGACAGTGCTTTTAGCAAGGAATGGCACACTGGGATTTTCCTATAAACAAAATCAAGTAGTACTTGGTCATCTCTAAGTTCTGATCTTTAATAAGAACAAAAATTCAAACACACACACACACACACATATAAATATAAATATATAAATATATATATATATATATATTATATATATATATATATATATATTATATATATATATATATATATATATATATATATATATAGATATATATATATATAATATATATATATATATCTATATATATATATATTATATATATATATATATATATATATATATATATATATATATATTATATATATATATATATATAGATATATATATATATATATATAAACCCTTGATGACGGGTGAAGAAAACAAAAACAAAAAATCTACGCTGGCGATCAATGGCAACGCACTGATTTTGAGCGCGGGAGTTCGGTACGTTAGGCTGAATCACTGGATCTTTGCGCTTTGGTGCACCGCCGCAGCATACAGCCGCTACATTAATTCTACATTAATCATAATGAGCATTGCTCAGTAATGAGAGAAATAACAATAAAGAAGATTATATTATAATAATAATAATAATAACAGTAATAATGATTAAAAAAATAATAATAGTAATAAAAATAAAAATAAAAATAAAAATAAAAATAATAATAATGATGATGATGATGATGATGAAAATTATAATAAAAAAATAATAATAATAAAAAAATGATAATAATACCAGCAAAACAGTAGCAAGACAGTAAATGGTGATAATGACAAGTATACAAAGCCATATCAATAACAACTAGAAATCCATCTGAGAACTCCTAACTCCTCCATTTGATATAATAATCCCCATCTCATAAAACTGTTCATCAACTACCTTCACATACTCCTGGTCTGCCTACATATCTACTATAGTCTGCCTTCGTCTACCTTAATCTCACCAAAGTGCCCACTACTTTCCCCAAAACGACGTTTAATCTGCCTAATTCTGAAAAAAATGGAGCCTGGGCCAAGGGCAGCCCACCCATAAACGTTCATCCCCATCCATCCTAAACTTTTGCCTATCCCTGCTAACAAACAAATTCTCCAAATGGCCATTATGTCCATAAGTAAAAGCAAAAAGGAAAGCAAGTTAGTCGAGGCCTCAATTAATTTCCATCTGTTTTGGGTCTTGATTTCCTGGATTTATAACTTAACTATACAATGTAAAAGTGGTCTCTGGAAGCAACTAAACAAACGTTCTTCACTTCTAGCTATGCAAGTTATGACAGTGCTTTTAGCAAGGAATGGCACACTGGGATTTTCCTATAAACAAAATCAAGTAGTACTTGGTCATCTCTAAGTTCTGATCTTTAATAAGAACAAAAATTCAAACACACACACACACACACATATAATATAATATATATATATATAGATATATATATATATATATATTATATATATATATATATTATATATATATATATATAGATATATATATATATAGATATATATATATATATAGATATATATATATATATATATATATCTATATATATATATATATAGATATATATATATATAAAAACCCTTGATGACGGGTGAAGAAAACAAAAACAAAAAATCTACGCTGGCGATCAATGGCAACGCACTGATTTTGAGCGCGGGAGTTCGGTACGTTAGGCTGAATCACTGGATCTTTGCGCTTTGGTGCACCGCCGCAGCATACAGCCGCTACATTAATTCTACATTAATCATAATGAGCATTGCTCAGTAATAAGAGAAATAACAATAATGAAGATTATATTATAATAACAATAATAATAATAACAGTAATAATGATTAAAAAAATAATAATAGTAATAAAAATAAAAATAAAAATAAAAATAATAATAATGATGATGATGATGATGATGAAAATTATAATAAAAAAATAATAATGATAAAAATAATGAATAATTCCAACAACAATAATAGTAATAATCATACTCATAATAATTATTATCATATCATTATTATTACTATTACTATTATGATAATTATCATCATATTACTATCTTATAATAATTATCACAATTATAATTATCATAATAATTATAATAAAAACAATGACAATAACAATCATATTTTTGGTACACAATTTTCTTCCAAAATACAATAATTGCAATTATTTGTTTAATGGATTCTCTGAAAGAGTAAAGTTACGAGTAAAATAGCTTTATAAAATATATATAGTAAGAATGTCTTGATTGTGAACCTGCAAACATCAGTAATATGAAAAAAAGTGGTGGCTTGTTATGCCACATATCAGGATCAATGAAAATTATCCACTACAAAAGAGTGAACACTTAAACTTTAAAATAGTTCTTAAAATTAAAATCTCTGAAGCTACTATCAATGTCAATGGTAATTGAAAATCAAATCCATGGCTTACTCAAAAAACAAACAAAC